ATATATATATATATATATATATATATATATATATATATATATATATATATATATATATATATATGTATGGATATATGTAAGCAAGTACGCAGGCAAGTAAAGGTAAGCAAATAAAATAAAACGTATATAAGTGAAAAAAAAAACAAATAAACATAAATAAAAAAAATAAATAAATAAATATATAAATAAACCAACAAATAAATGAATAAAAAAATAAACAAATAAAAATAAACTGAGATGCAGGAGGAGGGAAAGCAAACCTCAGGAGATATCTTTGGGGTCGGGTATAGGGGGGGTAGTGGTAGTCTTGTTATTTCTTCTTTTTCCTTTTCTTCTTTTTCTTTTTCTTTTTCTTCTTTTTCCTTTTCTTCTTTTTCTTTTTCTTTTTCTTTTTCTTCTTTTTCTTTTTCTTTTTCTTCTTTTTCTTTTTCTTTTGCTTCTTCTTCTATTTCTTCTTCTTTTCTTTTTTTAATTTCTTCTTTTTCTTTTTTTTCTGCTTCTGCTTCTTCTCTCTTTTTTTCTTCTTCTTGTTCTTTCCTCTCTCTTTCTCTTTTTATTTCTCTTTCTATTTCTTTTTCTTTTTCTTTTTCTCTCTGTATTCTGTGTTTTTCTCTTGGGCCTTCTGTTGTCTCCTGATAAGAAATGTAAATTAATTTTATTTCTTCTTTTTTTTTATTTTTTCTTTTTTCTCTCACTCTAATCTTTCTATGGATTTCAGCTTTCTTCTCTTCTCTCTCCTCTGGCGGAGCCCCCACAGCCTGAGTCGAGTCAGATTAGGGTTTAGGGTTTAGGGTTTAGGGTTTAGAGAGAGCAGACGGACCTCCTCTTCCTCTTCTTCTTCTGGTATTTCGCGTGTCTGTGTAGGTTTATGTATTTCTTTTTCTTTTTCTTCTCTTTTTTCTTCTTCTGCTGCAATTCTTTTTTCTTCTTTTAGTTCTTTTTCATGCTGCAGCTGCTGCATCTCTTTGTGAACAGGGGGTAGTTGTATTTCAGGTATTTGTTCGTGTGCTTCGGCCTGCTGCTGCTCTCTCTCTCTTCTCTCCTCTCTTGACTCTTTATAAACTTCTTCTTTATGCGAAGGAACAGGAAAAGGTATTATTTGAATCTGAGGGGGAGGAGCCGGAGAAGGCCGGGCTTCGTGTGGGTGCTCAGCTGCTGCTGCTCCTCCTGCTGCTGCTGCTGCTGCTGCTGGTGCTGCTGCTGTTTAATTCAAGAATATAATAAACAGGTTATGAAAGGCGATTACGGACCTTCTTCTACCACCACAATTCTTCTCTTTCCGGGGGTACAAGGCTCTGTATTTTCAGGTGTATTACGAGGTATGCATGCATGCATGCATGCATGCAGGGAGAGATGCAGCAACAAACAGCACCTTTAGTTTGCGGTTCCTCCTCCAGAGCCTCCTCAGCGTTCGTTCTAAAGTCTCGTGCATTTTCATGCATTTGTTTGGAGAGCTTCGACTGAAGGGGGAGAGGTGTATGTACACTGCAAAACTTCTTTCGGCTGTATATTGTGTAATCCTGACCTGCAACTGCTCTCTATCCCTCTCAATAAGCCCTGTGCAGGTTCGACAGCGAGGTGGAAACTTGATGGTAATTCACCAAATAAATGCAAAAAAAAAA